CGACTATTCGGAGAGGCCAGAGGGGAACGAGATCCGACGTCGACAGCGACGACGGGCGCTTTTAACTGGAAATTTTGGCGGACGATTCACGAGCGTTCCGCCAAAAGTGTGGAGATCGGAGGAAAGCGAGCGAACGTCTACTTCCGACGTTTGCAGTTCTACAGTGGGAGTACATGGTACGAAGAAAGCGATACAGAGCGAAATGTAACAAATCTTATTCATGGTAAATAACTTGTTAATTGTGAACCTTTATTGTCTGTTAATTCTGTTCAATACAGGGTGGTCGCGATATAATGGGCCAAAATTCATGACTAGATTCCTGACGTGAAAATATTGCGATTTAGACAAACTCACCTTAGTCCAAAAGTTGATACTTACAGAGATACAGGGTGTTTAATGCAAAATATTATTTTAGTTTTTTCTTATTTATTTCATAATAAATGCTCATATCGAGATGAAATTTTGGTGTTAGGGGTTTTCTGGGGCGAGAGATTGAAATATATCCATGGTTTGCTTGTAGCTCATAGAGAGCGCCACCTGCGCTAGGTCGAATGCGTTGAAAACGACAGAACTTTTTTATCTTTCAAAAATCTAATTCTCAGGTAGCAAATTCTGATTTTACAACTTCTTTTACACAAAAAAGCTATACTTTTTGATAGTCGCTATCTTGCACCGTTCTCGTAAAATTTGCCATTGAAAATTCCAATGTATTTGCATTCAATTACAAATCGGCAAAAATTTTCAAGTAGGCTTATGTTAAAATCCAATTTTGACATTTTCCACTTATCTTAGTGCTGTCAGTAATATTACAGTATTATTCGTGCCTTATTAAAAGTATTCTTTACTTTATGATCTAAATCGTAGTGCGAGATAACATGCCACGCCATAATTTATTTTCAAATGGAGAAATGCGCGATATGGTTTGCGTTTATGCGCAATCAGATTATGTTGGACGTCGAGCGCTTCGTCGGTATTCAGAGTTGTATCCGAATAGAAGGCAACCAAATCGGAAACTATTTCAAGAACTTTTTAATAGACTTGGAGAAACTGGTAGTTTTCGTCCTAAAAGAGACAACGCAGGGCGTACTGTTACAGTTCACCAAGAAGAAGAAATTTTAGTAAGAGTGGCAGGAAATCCAGAAGTTAGCAGCAGGCAGGTAGCTAGAGAAACCGGTGTTAGTAAAACAACAGTTCTCAAAATCTTTCACAAGGAAAATTTATATCCCTACCATTTTACACCCGTGCAAAATCTTTTAGCAGCAGACTTACCAGCTAGATTACAATTTGCTCATTTTATGCGCAATCAGCAAAACCTTGACCAGGAATTTTTGGATAATGTACTATTCACTGATGAAGCGACCTTTACTCGTCGAGGAATTTTCAATTTTAGAAACAAGCACATATGGGATAATGAAAATCCTCACGTAGTCAGTGAGCGTCACTTCCAACATGAATTTAAGATAAATGTTTGGTGCGGAATCATAGGAAATCACCTTTTGGGTCCACATGAGCTTCCTCCAAATCTAAATGGTGACTTGTATTTAGATTTCCTGCAGCACCATTTAGTTGACTACCTCGACGATTTACCACTGAATACACGGCAAAATCTATTTTTCATGCAAGATGGAGCTCCCCCTCATTATTCTGTCAGAGTACGGAACTATCTTGACCACATTTTTCCGGATCGTTGGATCGGTCGTGGGAGTCGAATATTATGGCCTCCTCGTAGTCCTGACTTTAATCCTATGGATTTTTGTTTCTGGGGCTACATGAAATCAGTTGTCTATAGAGAAACTATAAACACCCGCGAAGAGCTATGGCAGAAAATTGTAAATGCCGCCGAATCATTTCGTAACAAGAATCTCTATTTTAAAATACGGCAGTCTTTGAACAAACGCGTTAATAAATGTATTGAAGTTGGAGGCGGACATGTTGAACATTTATTGTAATATTCGATATTCAATTGTTCATCACAATTTATAATTTGAAATAAACTCTTGTTCTTTTTGACATTCGTACCTTATTTTGATTACTCGAATTACCAAAGCTAAATATCTTGAGAACGGTGCAAGATAGCGACTATCAAAAAGTATAGCTTTTTTGTGTAAAAGAAGTTGTAAAATCAGAATTTGCTACCTGAGAATTAGATTTTTGAAAGATAAAAAAGTTCTGTCGTTTTCAACGCATTCGACCTAGCGCAGGTGGCGCTCTCTATGAGCTACAAGCAAACCATGGATATATTTCAATCTCTCGCCCCAGAAAACCCCTAATACCAAAATTTCATCTCGATATGAGCATTTATTATGAAATAAATAAGAAAAAACTAAAATAATATTTAGCATTAAACACCCTGTATCTCTGTAGGTATCAACTTTTGGACTAAGGTGAGTTTGTCTAAATCGCAATATTTTCACGTCAGGAATCTAGTCATGAATTTTGGCCCATTACATCGCGACCACCCTGTATATACTTTTAACATATCTTCCACGGTTTGATTGAAAAACCCCTGTCATCAAACTCAAGACCTTTTGGAGCTCAAGCTCACAGGCTCGCTTAACGAGGCTCCCGTTGAGGCTGCCATTCCTCGACGCGGATATTTTAGTGCCTAGCAACCACTACTCGCTTCACAAGACATACCACCCGAGGTAGCCTAGCCTGAGGTGAATACCCTGTTCGATAGCCCCCTGCATCGAAACAGCGGTAAATTCCAGGATCCTTTTTGAGACCTGCGATACCGTCCGAGACTGACCACCTCCGACGAAGATCCTGTGCGATAGCCTCCTACATCGACACAGCGATACCCCAGGCTCCTCCAGAGACCTGCGTACCGCCCGAGGTAGCCCAACCTGAGGCGAAGATCCTGTTCGATAGCCCCCTGCATCGAACAGCGATACATTTCAGGCTCCTCCAGAGACCTGCATACCGTCCGAGGCTGAGAACCTCCGACGAAGACTTTGATTCCGATCGTGCCGGCTCCATCGAGAGACCCGCACCTCGGTACAGAGTATACACATAGGCTCCTACGAGTCCTATTTATTCAGACCAATCGAGATCTGCAAATCCGATGCAACTTTCCTCGTCAAACCTCTAGGCGGTCACTCGTCGAGGTAACCTTCCTCGTCAAACCCCTACGAGGCATTTTCTTTGTGACCCACGGGTTCAAAGCAATAGTACGCACGTCATTGCGGCGGCGTACTTCCAAATTTAGCAGAAGTTGTCCTTGCTTCTTAGGGCTCCCTCGAGAGACCCATATTTAAAGTAGAGTCAGTATATCTACAAGACTTTCGGAGCAAAAACAAATTAGATCGTGAAAATATGATCAAGATTGAGCTGGACGAGACCTCGTTCCCCCCGAACGCTATCTCGGTGCTCCGTGGAGAGTTGGAGGATCCGAAGGTAGTAGGTCGTAGTAGTACCCGGCGCGGCGACGCCACAGTGCCGTACAGGCTGAGGTCCGCGACTATCCGAGTTACCAATACCACATCGAGTATCCCTCAAGACGTGCCCACGGAGACGAGTAGCATGCCAGAGTTACCACGAAGTGGGTCACCCACAAATACTCGGGACGAGGTTACACCTACGTACCAACTGGTAGGGTCCGGGGAATCCCATGAGCCCAACCACGGTTCGCGGGTGTTCCGGAACGTGGAGCCGTTGGCGACGGCGATACAGTACACACAGCTTTTCTACGAAATGGTACCCAGCGGGAGCAATGCGCATCTCGTTCGGGTGCTATGGCATGCGAAAACCCTTTAGCCGACTATGTCGTAGGTGACGTAGCCGGCTCTTTCCATCTAAGCAATTCTGGTACATCGCCCGTCCACTCTCATGATTTCCCCCGAACATTCGATCACCGCCTAAGTGGTCCCTATTTAGAAAGTCTAACCCGACACAGCGTTCGACGTGGGGCTCGACCTTCTTCGTCGAGGTCTCCCCCACGAGCTCATGTCCTAGACACCACGTCTGTAGGTCATATCCACCACAGACCACAATCACTTGAGAATCTACTGCGACCTGGCGTCCCTAGTGACGATCCATTTCAACTCCGTGCGTCTCTATCGCGACCCAGGACAAGGGAACCAACATCCCAGATCATAATTCACGACATGGCGCCCAACGTGGGGCTCGTTTAGAACTCCCGATGTCTCTACCGCGGACCCATGTCGATCAAACACTACGCAATGGTCATATTCCGCGACATGGCGCTCGACGTTGGACTCGAAGTCCTGCTTCGACGTCTTCGCGGCGAGCCCACGTTGCCGAATCTCCCCATAATTCTCAAATATTAGGCACAAACGATCATATAACACGACATTGTTGTTTCTCTTTTTTCAATTGTATTCAGTATGTGTTAATCTTTTCCAGAAATAAACTAACTATTACTTTTTATCATTACCATTAAAAGAATAACTTTGACTTTGAGTTTTATTAATGAAACTAATGGTAATAGCAACTAGATTAGAACTTTTTGTTTAGAATAAAATTTGTCATAATAGCAAGTGATAAAAGGGGCGAAAAGATTAACCTCAAAAAAGTTAGGACTTAAAATGTTCCCGCGGAGTACTGCACCAAACGCTCTGTATGATATAGCCAAAAATTAATAACTCCAGAGCATCTGTCATCCTCAGAAACCCCACATAACAAAATTTCAGTTCATTTGGGCGAATTTTGTGGAAGATAGGACCGAAACTAGATTCTAAAAAATTATTTTCAACCCCCTGTATCTTGAAAACGGAAAAAGATACGCCCATAGTTCCTAGGAACAAATTGCAATATTTTTTGAAATTCTATCAGGCCCTGAATTTATGCTAGTGTTTTTTAGAACACCCTGTATAATGTGTAATTGACATTGTCCGGCAATTTACATACTTATACCATTAACACAATAATGGATCCATGGATCCATTATTGTGCCTATTGGCCCTATTGCATAATAAATATTTTTTATGGTACTTTCCTTTCTGTCTGGTTTATATTTATTTATGAGCTTTATGTTTTAGGTAACTATGCCAAGAAAATCAGCGAATAGGAAACACAAGGGTGCGAAACAAAAGGAATGGGAGGATGCTATCGAGGCTGTGATAAGGGATATCACGACTAATGCCACGGATCATAATAAACAGCAAATGGTTCAGATTGTTATTTACGAAAGTTCCGTCTAAGAACAAAATTTCTCTCTGATGCATTAAAAATAACTGTAATTAACCACGTACAGGGTGCCACCTAACGAATGTTACATACTTCAAAGATATGATCTAGATCTATATAACCTAAATGGTGTCGATTTAACCAAACTTGCTTAAACGAAAAATGTCGCAAAAAAGTTACAGGGCGTTAGTTTCTTTTTTTTATTTCTGTTGCTTAGATTCTCTTCATGAAGTATGCAGTGATTATGTTGCTTTAGGTTCAATCATATAGGGCGTTCATTTTACTACAACCCTTTGTGAATATTATATACAGGGTGGCACAAAAGTATGGAAACCCCTGAATAACTCGTCAAGAGTGCATTTTCTTGAAAAATTGTAAATACAAAAGTTTTAGGATTTTTCCCTGGCTATTCAATGGCGCCCTTATATTCGACCTTGACCTTTACCTTCGAGGTCATTTCAAGGTCAAAATTGTTTTTTTTAAATGGGAACCCCTATTTTTATTGCGGATTTGGAAAGAGCAGGAAATTTTACGTCCAAAAATTACTAATTAATTAATTACGTCTGGACCATGACTTTGACAATGACCTTGCTCTTTCCAAATCCGCAATAAAAAATAGGGGTTCCCATTTAAAAAACATAACACTTGACCTTCAAATGACCTTGAAGGTCAAAGTCAAGGTTAAATCCAAGATCACCAACAGACAGTCAGGGAAAAATCCTTACACTTTTGTCTGAAACATTTTTTCCCAAAATGCATTCTTCGAAAGTTCTGCCGTACCGGGACATTTGGAAGTCGACCCACATTTGACCTTGAAGGTCATTGTCAAAGTCATGGTCAAGGTTATATTTGCACGTAAAATTTCCTGCTCTTTCCAGATCTGCAATAAAAAATAGGGGTTCCCATTTGAAAAATCAATTTTGATCTTGAAATGACTTGGAAGGTCAAGGTCAAGGTTGAATACAAGGGCGCCATTGAATAGCCAGGGACAAATCCTAAAACTTTTATATATATCATTTTTCAAGAAAATGCACTTCTGACGAGTTATTCAAGGGTTTCCATACTTTTGTGCCACCCTGTATACATATATGGAATGAATACAATTGCTTCCTATTTAATTTCAAAAGTCCTTGAGTAGATGTGCTTGTAATGATAATTGAAACCCTATGAAATAAAAAAAAAATATTTCCAAATTCAAATGCTTTTTCAAAACGTGAAAAGAATTCACTTTTTATTAATAGATGCTCAGAAAGAGATTATCAGGTACGTACCTCAGATGGGCAGTGAACTCAGTTGCTGTATAATATCTTGACAATTGAATTTTACAATGGGACAGTAACGAATGACAATTTTTATTTCACGAGCGACCAAGGGGCAGGTGAATTAATTTCAAGAGTCGATAATATCTTTATGATCCTGTATAATCAATTTATTTTCTGTAGCAAATTACAAAAAAAACGTTAAAAAGATGAATTGAATAATTTTTTTAAATCTCTGCACTATATACGAGTAGAGTGGAATCCCTAATATTGAGTTTGAGTTTGAGCACTTCCGGTGGGTGGACTGTTTTTTTTTTATTAAGGATCAAGCTCTATATTACCATTCACTGAAATATTTCATCAATGGTTCTCGATAGTTACCAGGCTCCCTGTATAATCAAGTATTGATTTAGCATATCGAATGATTCAGAAGAATAAATAAAAATCAAATTATGATCCACTATTTTAGTCCCCAAACAGATGTATATTTTTTGGAAATTAAGTTTTTCTAGATTGCAAATTGTGAAATATCAGTGTTCTTATTTCAAATCTAGATACACCATTATTCTCAACCCTTGGAATGCCCTACTAGGATTCATTTGTCAATATCTGAATATTAATTTTCCAAAACAAAAAGTAATTTGTTTATGTAAAAGAGTAAACAAATGACGAAGAAAATAATATTGAAATAAATGAATATACAGTAATTTTTATAGTTTTTACTCGAGTAACGAGTTTTTCAGTAGCAAATAATGGTAGATTTATACTTGTGTTAGTTTATTTGTTGTTACTTTGTTAGATTATGTTTTAGGCTGTATCAATAAATAGGCTTTAAATTTTATTCTAAGTTTTCTACTCATTACACACGTTTTATGTTATTTTGAGGTACCGTTTAATTTAAATCTGATATTTCGTGTCGACTAGTCCTATACCAATTGTATGTCTTTTTGGATAATAAATTATTATTATTAACTGTTAAAAAAGTAGTTTATGAAATAGCAACCCATCTCTAAACTAAACATTCGGGCCAGAGTCATTAAGGCTCTGTTAAGTGAATGATCGAACCAGTGAACGGTAAAATTACTTAGTCTGCATGTTTTATTATTTTTGATACTAACCCTTTCCCTTAATATTCCGCGTTAACTAGGAATTGGCTTTCAGATCTCAGATTACTAACCCGAGATAATTCGGGTGGTTTAATTTCCATTTCTTCTTCATATTATCCAGTCGGCCTGGAAATTCACCCAACCCCCTACGAATTGTTGAAAGACACTTTCCTAAAGTTCTCCCATCAACAGAGAAGAAAACCAAACCTACAAAAGTTTGTGGAGTGTTCCAAAAAGCGTGATGACCAAGGAAAATGTGTACCTATGTAAAGAAACCCGCTACTTCTGTCCCGACTGTCAGATGCCATTATGTCATACCTTGTTTCAACTTTCCACACGAAGATGAATTATCGATTTATATTTAATATATTACACGTTTATTAATATTTGAGTGCATATCATAAAATATTAAATTAAAATTAAATAAAGAATAATTTTCATATATTAGCAATACCAGATTTTTCTATTTGTTCAAGTATGCTTTTTAAATTACTATCAAACAATTCACATCTTATAGGCATTTCTAATGAATAGAATAGATTTTTTAAAGCATAATCTGCATAAATTTCATAAATTCGCTTTAAGAATATTTCAACCCCTACTTGCTGAGGATCAGAAACCACCATTACATTAACACCGGTTAAAGTCTGAAAACAATTAAGGCGAAATGTGTCTGCTTCTTGAACTTCTATCCCTGATGACTTCGGCTCAGGACTAAGCTGACTTGCGATGGCAAATAAGGGATAGAACATATTCGCCAAAAAGATTTTTTCATTTGTCGTCATTTTTGGTCTACCAAATTTTAAAGTAATAGGATAATTTTCTGTTTTGTAAAAATTGCATGGCATCTTGTCCATCATCCATTTGGCAACCAGTTACTGGTATACCATTCACCGCATACAGGACATATGACCAACTAAAACAAATAAAAGCTACAAGCCAGTTTCCCTCTTTTTTTTATTTACCATTTATTCCATCTCTCTGTCCAAATTCAACAATTATCTTTTTATTTTCTACTTGAAGTTTTATATCTAATGGATACGGAAATTTTCTTTCAGTTTCTAACGAGCGTTCAAATAAAAACGTGGTCGAAGTTAGCTCTGACACATTGGACGTAGGGAGTAGCTTATAGCGACCAACTTAACCTCATTTCTCAACGAGCATAGCAGCTGTCAGTTTCAATAACGTTAATGACTATATAACTTTATTTTAAAGAATAATCGTGATAACAATAGCAAACAATTAAAGGAGCTACAGAAAGTGAAATGAAACCAGGCTTCATCAGAAAAAAAGGTGATATTATGAAGTTCACCGTAGTTGTTTAAAAACCATTCACAAAATACAGCCCGTCGCGGAAAATCAACTTCATGAAGTTCTTGCTGACAAGTTAAACGATAGGAGAACAAACGCAAATCTTTTTT